GACAAGGTGTTGCCCTGTCACCTAGGCTGGAGCACAGTGGTACAGTCGTGGCTCACTGCAGCCTTGACCTGTGGCCTCCAGCCATTCTCCTGCCTCAGCCTCCCAAGTAGCTGGGAATACAGGCGTGTGCCACCATACCCAGCTAATTTATTTATTTATTATTCTCCTCCCACTCCCTCCCCAACACACACACACACACACACACACACACACACACACACACACACACTCTCTCACTCACTTGATCTCTTACACCAAATACTTTTATTTTTTATAGAGACAGGGTCTTGCAATGTGGCCCACGCTGGTCTCGAACTCTTGGGCTCACATGATCCTTCCACTTCAGCCTCCTAGGTGTGAGCTACCATGCCCATCTTTAATCTCTTTTTCTGAAATAAAGGAATCTTCTTATGAAGTACAGATATAATGCTACATATGAACCAGAGTTTGAAAAATACTATTGTGATAAAAGTAACAATGTGCAGACGTAAAATACTTTATAGTTACAAAAGATCTTTCAATAATCATTTAGTGGATTGATTGATTGATTGATTGATTTGAGACAGAGTCTCACTCTGTCGCCCATGCTGGAGTGCAGTGGCACGATCTCTATTCACTGCAACCTTAGCTGGGGTTAGAGGCACCTGTCACCGTGCCCGGCTAATTTTTTGTATTTTTAGTAGAGATGGGGTTTTACCATGTTGATCAGGCTGGTCTCAAATTCCTCTCAAATGATCTGCCTGCCTCAGCCTCCCAAAGTGCTGGGATTACAGGCGTGAGCCACTGCACTTGGCTGTGGATTTATTTTTGACACATACTTGTACATATTTATTGGAGTACAATGTGATATTTTGGTACATGCATACAATGTGTTGTGATCAAATCAGGGTAATTAGCATATCCATCTATGAAGTAAGGAGTTTTTCATCCCTGGAATTGGGTGGAGCTTTCCTTCTTGTAGGCAGGATTTGAGCTGGGTGTGAGATTTGTTGTTACTTTAGTTATTATGTGAGACTGGAGATTCCTCTAGTGTTACCCTGTGTTTAGGCTGGGGGCTAGTTTGTTTGTTTTCTTCAGTATCTATTCTCTCAGCTGTAAGTGTTCACTTTCCTTTGCACCTCAGAGAGGGCCTTTCTCCTTTTTCTTGCCCCTCGTAGCAGTAGACAGCTGTCCCTTGTCATTCAGAGGGGGTGTTGGGCAGGGCCAGTCTCTGTTCTGATTCAGCCTCGTTTGTAGGCAGGCACTACATCGTGGGTCTTGGTAGGATCTGTTTGTGATCCCCCCCAACTCCAGTGTAGATCCAAACCCAGGACATAATTCCTGCTCCTCTCCCAAGGGTTCTAGGGTTTGTTTTTTCTCCCCCGTTTTTTCTCTAGCTGCAGTGGGCTTCCACCAGTGCCCTCAGAGCTGCAGGGTTTCTTACTCTTCTCTCCCTAACCCTGCCTTTAAGCCTTCCCACTGTTTTTGTGAGCCTCTGGAAAAGAGTTATTTGCTTTTTGTTGCAGCCTCCAGAAATTCTGTATTCTCTTGGTAATTCATACTGGCCTATAAACAATTTTTAAATAATTCTAGCTTAGTTACTGTTGGTATTGCTTCTTATCAGTCCTTAGAGGATGTTCTTTTCCTTAGATTTCAGGTTACTTGGTTGTTGCCCCATGATCTGAGCTCTTTGATGAGTTCAAGGAATTTGTAGGCTCGGCATGGTGGCTCACACCTGTGATCCTAGCACTTCAGGAGTCTAAGGTAGGGTAATCACTTGAGGCCAAGAGTTTGAGACCAGCCTGGGCAACATAGCAAAACCCCATCTCTACGAAAACAATTTTTAAAAAATTAGCTGGGTGTGGTGGTACCCACTTGTAGTCCCAGCTACTTGGGGGCCAAGGTGGAAGGATTGCTTAAGCCAGGAGTTTAAGGCTGTGGCGAGCTGTGATCACACCACTGCACTCTAGCCTGAGAGACAGAGCAAGAATCTGTCTCAAAAACAACAAAAAGCTTGCGAATTTGCACATTTTCCAGTGTTGTTTTGTTGTCACAATGGGGTGATAGTTCCCACCTTTGTGTGTCCTGTTTGGAAGATGGAAATCTGAATTCCTTTTTATATTGCGCTCTTAAAAGAAGGAACCCAGGTTCAGGAGGTACTGTTGTTCCCTTTCGCATGCACTCAGCGTTTTTCGGAGCTTTGTCAGGGACTCTCCAGAAACTTTTGATCCCTGGGTGGTTATGTAGCTGGATAAACTGATCCATGTTTTTATCACATAAGGCCCACAGACTGCAGGCCTTCAGGACTGGCTCTTCTCTGATGTAGTTGGCTCTGATGTCCCGGCCACTATGGTGGTCCCTTGGATTCTCCTGAGAGATAATGCAAAACTTGATTCATGCACTGGGTGTTGTCTTTGAAGGCTGTTGACTGTGCTTCCCTAGCATGGTATCAGGAACCGGCATTTCCGGACTTTATACTGGATTCTGAGTGAAGTTACTGGATCCCCATATCAGTGTCTTAACTTTGTAAATTGCATTTTTAGGAATTATAAAACAAGACCCTAAACTACCAGTGGATAAAATCTTACCCCCACCATCTCCCTGGCCCAAGAGCTCCATCTTTGATGCTGATGAAGAAAAGTCCAAGGTAAGGAACCTGACCTATGTGGTGTCTGATGAGACCTTTTCTCTTAGGGACGGTGCACTAAATGCCCGTTGATGCTTGAATCAGAGTATGGAGGGGGACAGGTTATGTGGGTTCTTCTCTCCAGACAGGCCCTTAGGAGTGAGGTAGCAGAAGGTTTGGGTGCTTTCTTCACGGATAAGCCGACCAATAAGGTTCTGGGTTCTTTGTGTCCTCTCCCTTATCTGTACAGCCTTCCTTGGGGAAAAAAGGTGCAAAAGGATAGCCCATGGGGAGTGTGGGTGATGGGTCATGTCCTGTGTGGGTGTGGTGTTGGGGTGGAAACAGTGGAAAGACTGGCTGCTCTGTGTTGGTTCAGCTCTGTCTCAGTGCCAGGGAGCCCGACCCTATCCATTTCCATCCTCTATGAACTCCCAAAATCGTTGTCCCTTGGACATCAGTATCTAGAGGGACAAGAAGAGGAAGGGAAGGTGGCCAAGACCCAGGGATAACTGTGGTGCCTGTGAGTGGGGAACCCTTTGGCCTAGTGCTAGCAGTGCTTTTGGTCGTGACTATTCTTGGTCGGTTGCAAGGTCTAGTTCATGGAGCGTCAGAAGGCTACGCGCTGTGTACTAATTTTTGCGTGGTATGCTCTGCCTGCTAACTGTACCCTGTCTCTGTACCCACTCCTTGGGCCTAGATAACTCTGTGGCCATCAGGTCCCTGTTGTTGGAATGAGCAAGGCTAGTCTAGGCTCTGGGCCACCTTTCTCCCTGGCTGTCCTCCTGCTTGGTGCCTTAGGTGTGCAGAGGGTGGGAGGAGCTAGGGAGGAGGTGTGGTGTGACTTCTGAGAAAGAATCCTGTATCACCAGCCCTCATTAGCCCCACTTTTCTTGCCATCTATCCCACAAAGATTGAGTGACTTCTCTGTGCCAGGCATCCTGCTAGGCGTTGGAAATGAAGGGATGAACAAGATCACCAGAGTCTATCCCGGATGAACAAGATCACCAGAGTCTATCCTGTCTTAGAGCACGTGGTCCAGGGCAACTACAGACCTAGTGCCCTTTTGGGCCAGAGAATTCTCTGTTGTTGGGGACCGTCTTGCGCACTGTAGGATGTACACAGCATTCTTGACTCTACCCACCAGCTGCCAGTAGCACCCCCTCTCCAACTGTGACAACCAAATTTCTCTAGACTTGGCCAGATGTCCCCTGGGAGAAGTAATCCCCCCAGCCCCCTACCCCATTGAAAACCAGTGGCATATTGGGACAGTCAGAGTGCCTGCATCATAGTGTCCTTGGGACCATTCAGTGAGACAGTGTGTGTAAAATGTGTGCATTGTTGTTAGTGTTAACTCTTCTATTGCTGCTGCGTCTGCTCTGGGCCTGAGGGAGTTATCTCATCTACTCTTCCTGTTTACTCTCTCCAGCTTCTGACAAGGCTTCTGAAAAGCAACCACCCCGAGGATCTTCAGGCTGCAAACCGGTTGATCAAGAATTTGGTCAAGGAGGTGGGCGTTCTTCCAGTTGGTTCAGTAGAAGCAGCATTTGACAGAGGCTGAAGGACAGTGTGTATGAACCTATCTTTGAGGGGTGGAGGAAGAGTTGCCTGGGAGAAAGAGTGGCTCCTACATAGTCCTGAGTCCTGGCGAACAGCCACAGGCTCCCTCGAGAGCAGCAAGGTGGTGATTAGAAGCAGAAACCTCACTGCCACACTGCTCAGCTGCTTTTGTCCGTGCTGCTCAAAGCATTTCCTAGACACCAGCTTCAGTCCCAGCAACAGGTATTGGTACAGACAAAGTCCAGGTTTAGAAATCTCCTTTTCAGAAGGCTTGAGGCTGATGGCACAAAGGAGGAGGTCACGGTCACCAGGCCTCAATGTGCATATTCTTCCCCAGGAATTCTGGGCTTCTGAGTATTTTTTTTCACCCGCTGTGTGAGCATTCCCATGCAGTTAACGTCTTGCAATTTCCCTGAGTAAGCTCTCTCAGTAGTGACCCTTTCCCATCCCTTGTTGAGGCTTTTGCCAGGGTTTCTGCTACCTCGCTCCCATCCTCCTCTTCCTCCCAAAAGGAGCAAGAAAAATCGGAGAAGGTGTCCAAGAGGGTCAGTGCAGTGGAGGAAGTGCGAAGCCATGTGAAGGTACTGCAGGAGATGCTGAGCGTGTACCGCAGGCCAGGGCAGGCCCCACCTGACCAGGAGGCCCTGCAGGTAATCTTCAGGTGTAACACAGGGGGCTGCACCTGTTCACTAAAGTAGGTTTGAAATGCTTTCACCTGTATGCATCTATGAAGCCATCTCAGAGTGAAGATGGTAAACATATCTGACGCCTCCCAAAATGTCCTTATGCTGCTTTGTCCTCCCTTCCTCTCTCCCCTGCTTCCCGAGCCCCAGGAAGCTGCTAATTTGCTCTCTGTTCTGATTGGCTGACAACTCCCAGACTCTTTTATAAATGGAATGATGCAATACATAACCCTCTTTATTTTGTCTGGTTTCTCAGTCTCACTGGAGAGCCATTCACGTTGCCATGTATAGTAGTAGTTTGTTTCTTCTTGTTATTGCCGGGTACTGGCCCGTCGCCTGGATGTACCACCGTGTGTACCTGTTGATGGACCTTGGCCTGTTTCCAGCTCTGGGTGGTTATGAATCACGCAGCTAGAAACAGTTGTGAACAGGATTTTGTGTGAACATATGTTTTCATTTCTTATGGGTAAATGTCTGGGATTACTAGGTCATATGTTAAGTATATATTTAACTTGTTAGGAAACCAAGTGGCTCAGCTATCTTCTAGCTTATGAACCATTTATAATCCTAACAGCAGTGTTTGAGAGTTCTAGCTCCTCTACATCTTGAGATCTTAGTTTTTAGATAGCATCCTTATTGCGATAATTAACATATCATAAAAGCAATCATCACACCTACCTAGTTACAGAATATTTTAATCACCCCTAAAAAGAACCTTGTACCCATTAACAGTCATTCCTCCTTTCCCAAACTACCCTTTCCCCTAGTCCCTGGCAACCACGAATCTACTTTCTGTCTCTCTGGATTTGCGTATTTGGATGCTTCGTCCAAGTGCAGTTACACAATACATGGGCTTTCGTGTCTGACTTCCTTTATGTAGCCTAATGTTTGCAGGTGCATCTATCTGGTAGCATGCATCACTGCTCCATTCCTTTTCATGGCTGAATAGCGTTCCATTGTGTGGCTGTGCCACATGTTTCTCCACTTATCAGCTCATGGGCATTTGGGTTGTTCCTGCTTTTTGGCTATTACAAATAATGCTTTTGAATTATTCATTAGGAATAATGACTTTGAACTTTGTCCAGGATTTTGTGTGAACATAAGTTTTAAATTCTCTTGGGTGCATACCTAGAAACGGAATTGCTGGATCGTGGGGCAACTCCGTATTTAACATTTTGAAGAACTGCCTAATTGTTTTCCAAAGTGGCTGTGCCATTTTACATTCCCGGCCACAATGTATCACTTCTAGTTCTCTGCATCCTGCCAGCATTTGCTGTTGTCTTTTTGATTGGAGCCCTCCTGGAAGGTGTGAAGTGCTTTCTCATTGTAACTTTCTGTTGCTTGATGACTTATTTATTGCCTATGCTTATTGGCAGCCTTAGAAGAACTGTCTGCGCAAACCCCTTGCCCATCTTTTGGATTGTCTTTTTATTTTTGAGTTACAAGTGATTTTTATATATTCTGGATACAAGGTCCTTATCAGACAGCTTTCTCCCATTCTTTGGGCTGTCTTTTTACTATTTTGATAGCATGTTTTGAAGAGGTAGAGTTTGTTTTGCTTTTTGAGACAGGGTCTCACTCTGTTGCCCAGGCTGGAGTGCAATGGCATGATCTTGGCTCACTGCAGTCTCTGCCTCCCAGGTTCAAGAGATTCTCCTGCCTCAGCCTCCCAAGTAGCTGGGATTGCAGGTGCCTGTCATCATGTCCAGCTAATTTTTTTTGTATTTTTAGTAGAGACAGGGTTTCACCATGTTGGCCAGGCTGGTCTCAAACTCCTGACTTCAGGTGATCTGCCTGCCTTGGCCTCCCAAATTGCCACTGCTCCTGGCCTCCTCTTTTTTTTTTTTAAATGTCTTGCTGGTGCTTTTGTTGTCATATCTAAGAAACCACAGCCTATTTGTGCCAGGTCCAAGGCAGCCATGTTCCTGGTCTCCCTTGGAGCTCTGTTCTCCATCTCCTTCAGCAGATCTGTTTTAGCCATCTCTCTCTGCATTCCAGTTTTTTATGTTTCTTTTTATGTTTCTCTGCAAGGAGAGCCAGCCCTCACACAAATCCTTTATTTACTTGTCCTTCCACTTCACAAAATTAGCAGAAATAAACTACTGTCTTTCCAAATTCCTAAGAGAAAAATCCCTGGCCAGTTTGGCACATGTATCTGTCTCTGGCACAGTCAGCTATGATTGGGATTGGACAGAGTTAGGGTGAAAATCTTGCTGACCTTCCTCTGTGGTTGAAGGGGGCAGTGCTCAGAAGGGTTGCTGGGCTCAGGCCAGGAAGGGATCCCAAAGCCCATCTCCCATGGAGTAGTTGTACCACAGTCCCTCTAGAAGGCCAACGTGTTGGGCTTTTAGACAACACCAATTCTCCCTAACCTGGCATGACAACCAGCTAAGAAACAGGAGAGATGCCATAGAAAACAATATGTGTTACCTGTACATGGGAGAAAGCTGACTTTGGAAAATGTGGCAAATAAGATTTTGGGTTGTTTTTTTTGAAACAGTGTCATTCTGTCATCCAGGCTGGAGTACAGTCTCCCAGGTTCAAGTGATTCTCCTGCCTCAGCCTATGAGTAGCTGGGATTATAGGTGCACACCAGCACTACCAGATAATTTTTGTATTTTTAGTAGAGATAGGGTTTCACCATGTTGGCCAGGCTGGTCTTGAACTCCTGACCTCAGGTGATCTGCCTGCCTTGGCCTCCCAAAGTGCTGGGATTACAGATGTGAGCAACTGTGCCTGGTCAGATTCTTTTATTTTCAAAAATCATACACTTGAAGCCCAAACTTTTTCTGAAACTTTAACATGTTACTTCAAACCTGTGGTCTCGAAGTCAGGACCAACAGGAGGCCTCATGAAGCCCCAGACTCTGCTGCCTACTTGATCAAAGGCGCCTGGGGCCATGGAGTGGGGCATAGGGGGATGCCTGGGTGTATGTCATGAACCAAGCTCTGCTCTTCCAGGTTGTATATGAGAGGTGTGAAAAGCTGAGGCCCACCCTGTTCCGGCTGGCAAGTGACACCACTGATGACGATGATGCACTTGGTAAGTTTTCTTTTCCTAGGTATAGCTAGCAGCCCAGGTGCAAGACAGACTTGGTCCCACCTGTCATCCTGCTGAGCCAGGAGCAAGACAGAGTGGACTTCAGGCTCTGTGGAGCGTGGGCTTGGGGAGGGTGTGGCCTGAGTTGCTTCACAGCTGACGTCCAGCAGGATCCAGGCTTCGGTAAGAAATCAGCAGAAGGCCAGGCACAGTGGCTCATGCCTGTAATCCCAGCACTTTGGGAGGCCAAGGCAGGCAGATCACGAGGTCAGAAGTTCGAGACCAGCTGGACCAACATGGTGAAACTTAGTCTCTACCAAAAATACAAAAATTAGCCAGGTGCGGTGGTGGGCGCCTATAATACCAGCTACTATGGAGGCTGAGGCAGGAGAATTGCTTGATTCCAGGAGGCAGAGGTTGCGGTGGGCCGAGGTGCCACTGCACTCTAGCCTGGGCTACAGAGTGAGACTCTGTGTCAAAATAAATAATTAAAAAAAAAAAAAAGAAATCTGCAGCAAATGCTGGATATGGTGGCTCATGCCTGTAATCCCAGCACTAGGAGGCCAGGGTGGGTGGATTACCTGAGCTTCGGAGTTCGAGACCAGCCTGACTGACATGGTGAAACCCTGCCTCTACTAAAAAATTAGCTGGGCGTGGTGTTGTGTGCCTCTAATCCCAGCTATGTGGGAGGCTGAGGCAAGAGAATCATCACTTGAACCCGGGAGGCAGAGGTTGCAATGAGCCAAGATCATTCCATAGCACTCCAGCCTGAGTGACAGAGCAAAGCTCCATCTCAAAAAAAAAAAAAAAAAGCAAAAAGCAGCAGCAGGTCTAAAGCCTGCAAAGGGGTGGAAATTGACCATGGAGATTGGGGTATGAGAGGTAGAAAAAAGGTCCCACTGGAGGCTTCAGGAAAAGCTGACCAGTCACAGGCCAGAGAAACAGCTGGGGTGGTATCTCAAAGGGATCACCAGCTTTTGTACCTTCAGGGGGCCAGGTGGGTCACCTGAGAGAGCCAGGCCGATGGGAAATGGAAGGGTCATTCGTAGGGATGGTAGAGAATTGTCTGCAAGTATTAAAAAGTTATTTTAACTCTTTATTATGGAAAATATCAAAACATGAGAGGGGGAGTAACAGAATAAATTCTATGTATTCTTTACTCATCTTTAATAATTACCAGCTCATAGTTGATTTTTTTAATCTTGTTTCATCTGTACCTCTCTTTGTACTTACCCATTCCTTAGCACGTTCTAGACATTTCTTTTTCTTTCTTTTTTTTTGTGATGGAGTCTCCTCTGTTGCCCAGGCTAGAGTGCAGTGATGCAATCTCCGCTCAGTGCAACCTCCACCTCCCAATTCAAGCTATTCTCCTGCCTCAGCCTCCCAAGTAGCTGGGATTACAGGTGCCCCATCATGCCTGGCTGCTTTTTGTATTTTTGTAAAGATGGGGTTTCACCATGTTGGCCAGGTTGGTCTCGAACTCCTGGCCTCTAGTGATCTGCCCCACTCGGCCTCCCAAAGTGCTGGAATTACAGGTGTGAGTCATTGGGCCCAGCCTCTAGACATTTCACAGTAACCAAAGATTCAGTCAGTGTTCAGATTTCTCTGATGTCATTTTTCCTTAATCATCTCTTGCTAACTTAAAAAGAAATTGTAAATTCGACTCAAAAGAAAAGCCATACTTCGGTTTATATTTCTTGAGTCTCTTAATGGATAGCGTGTGCATGCCCCCTGCAGTCCTTTTTTTCTTTGGAGACTATCTCATTCTGCTGCTCAGGCTGGATTGCAGTGGCGTGATCTTGGCTCACTGCACCTCCACCTCCTGGGTTTAAGCAATTCTGCCTCAGCCTCCTGAGTAGCTGAGACTTCAGTTGCGCACCACCACATCTGGCTAATTTTTGTATTTTTAGTAGAGGCAGAGTTTTGCCGTGTTGCCCAGGCTGGTCTCAAACTCCTGGGCTCAAGTGATTTGCCTGCATGGCCTCTCAAAGTGCTGGGATTACAGACAACCACACACTGCTTTTTTTCTTGCGTGAAAAATAGGCCTCTGAATTGAGAGTTCTGTCAGTCCCAGTTTTGCTCATGGCATCCCCCTTGATGCTGTTAATGTTTCTATTTCTGATACTTCTTTTTTTTTGAGAGACAGCTTCACTGTTGTTGCCCAGGCTGGAGTGAAATGGTGCAATCTCGGCTCACTGCAACCTCCGTCTTGTGGGTTCAAGCAGTTCTCCCACCTCAGTCTCCCAAGTAGCTGGGATTACAGATGCCTGCCACCATCCCCAGCTAATTTTTTGTATTTTTAGTAGAGATTGGGTTTCGCCATGTTGGCCAGGCTTGTCTCAAACTTCTGACCTCAGGTGATCTGCCCACCTCAGCCTCCCAAGGTGCTGGGATTACAGGCGTGAGCCACCACCCCTGGCCGATGTTTCTTTTTATAGCCGGTGGATCAAGAGCTTGAGGGTTGGAGGGGCTGTGGCAGTCCAGAACGTAGATGGTATTCAGGAGGCCCATGGTTATCTCGCTGTGGTGGCATGCACCTCTAGTCCCAACTACTCTATCTTAAAAAAAAAAAAAAAAAACCCACTTTAACTGCATTAAATACTAAGGGAGCCTTTTAATATTTGTATCCACATTGACAAAACAGCTTCAGGTTCTGAGTTAAAGTTAAAAGTTTGTTATTGAAAGGGCCTTAATTTAAGTGCTTACTCCTGGCCATTACTCTGGACAGTACAGATGTGGAAGGTGAATAGATTTGCTTTCTTTTGGATTGAGAACTAACATTAGGACTCAGAGGTTAAGTGACTGGGCCTGATAGGATCCAATGACACGATCTGGGGGCAGGAGGTGTGGATAAACTGAACGTAGTTGAGCCATATGAAGGCTGTTTTATGGAAAAGCTTAGGAAGGACTAAGATTGTGGCTCACGCCTGTAATTCCAGCACTTTGGGAGGCCAAGGCGGATAGATCACAAGGTCAAGAGATTGATAACAATCTGGGTAACATGGTGAAACCCTGTCTCTACTAAAAATACAAAAAATTAGCTGCGCATGGTGGCATGTGCCTGTAGTCCCAGCTACTTGGGAGGCTGAGGTGGGAGAATTGCTTGAACCCAGGAAGTGGAGGTTGCAGTGAGCTGAAATCGTGCCACTGCACTCCAGCCTGGGTGACAAAGGAAGACGCTGTCTCAAAAAAAGGGTCGGGACTGAGATTGTTGGTCACCAAACCAGGGAGTTCTGATTCTTCTCTCATTCTTCAGCGGAAATTCTCCAGGCAAATGACCTCCTCACCCAAGGAGTTCTGCTGTACAAACAGGTGATGGAGGGCCGGGTCACCTTTGGAAACACAGTGACCAGCTCAGTGGGAGACATCCCTGTCTCTAGGGGTACGTGTGAAAGCCTCTCCTTGCCTTCTGCGTTGGGGCAGCCTGCAATGCCCAGAAAAGAAGTGGGTCCTATGCATATTCTGGGTTAACGAATAGAAATATGAGAACTCGCTCTTTGGTCCCATTCCTGTGTAAGTGGGTTTCATGTCACCATGCTCAGCCACAGGAACCATCACGAGCTGGCTGCCAGGCTGGACCCCAGCTTTGACTACACAACAAAGCAGATGTCTAAGCAATGCCTGGGTTTGAATTCTCATAAGTGGTTGCATGCAGGAGCTGGAGATAAAAGAAATGGTATTCCTCAGTGGTTCCTAGTGCTAGGCCAGCTGTATCACAATCACCTAGAGCACTGGTTGAAATGCCACTGCTTAGGTCCCTGGCTTGGACCTTCTGAGTCAAGACTGCTTGGAGCTGGGCCTGGAGAGCTGTGTCTTTCAAGCTATGGGTGATTCTGATCAGCTGTGGTCAGAAGCCTTGGAATGGCCTGAGCTGGAGAAGGCCAAGTCTGCTCTCCTTCCAGGTGATGGGACCTTTGCCTGTGATCCCTGGAGTAGGAAGGCAGGCCTTGTGTCCCTCTTGTCCCAGATGCCAGCTGAGCTTGTGTATCAAGACAGTCGGCTGAGTGGAAGGTTCTTGGAGGGGCAGGGAGGGCATTAATATTTGATGAGGAGGCGGCCTGAGGGAAGCTGACCGGATTTAGGTGGAGACTTTGCTCTCATGTCCAACTGACTTCTCTTCCTAACCCTGGGCTTTCTAGTCTTTCAGAATCCAGCAGGCTGCATGAAGACCTGCCCCTTGATTGACTTGGAGGTGGACAATGGACCTGCACAGGCGGGGACTGTGGCGCCGTCTTTGCTTCATCAGGACCTGGCAGCCTTGGGTGAGGGCGGGCGCTTGTGGGGGCAGGCACAGGATGGGTGTGAGTAGGGGAGTGAGCGCGTCTCCTCAGGGAGCACATGCCTACTGCTGAGGGTGGTTGTGAGTTGTGGAGTGAGCTGTCGGGGAGCACATGTCTGCTGCTGAGGGACTGAGGGTGGTTGTGAGTAGGAGAGTGAGCTGGTCTCCCGGGGGAGCATGTGCCTGCTGCTGAGGGAATCGTGGTGGTTCTGAGTAGTGAGGGAGTGAGCTGTCGGGGAGCACGTGCCTGCTGCTGTGGAAGTCGAGATGGTTGTGAGTAGGGGAGTGAGCTGGTTCCCTCAGAGAGCACATGTCTGCTGCCGAGGGAATCAGGTGGTTCTGGATATTGGGGAGTGAGCTGGTTTCCTCAGGGAGCACATGCCTGCTGCCAAGGGAATCAGGTGTTCTGGGCAGTTCAGAGGGTCCTCCTTGCATATTAGTCACAGATTTGCCATTGAGTCACGTGACCTTCAGTAAGTTGCTTATTTGTCTAGACTTTCTGGATATCCTAGAAAGGGTAGTTGTGGTATCGTGCTCCATCTTGAAGCAGGTGGAATTACTGTTGTGCATCTCACTCTGCTCCTTTCTTACAGGAATCAGTGATGCTCCTGTTACAGGCACGGTAAGGACCGCCTTCCTAGGGCCCGGAGAGAGAAGGGGAAGGTCTCAAACCTGCCCTTGTGAGGCAGCACTGCCTGGTGGGCAGAGAGGTGCTCCTGCACTGTCCCAGTGGGATCATGACCTTGGAGGTCCAAAGCCTCTTTCTCATCCATACTGTGGCTGGTACCCCCGGGGGAGACAGTTTGCACCAGGCTCCTGCTGCTTGAAGGTCTGCCCAGGAGGTGTATGTGATCTTGCCCTTTCTTTCCCCTTTTGCCCTAGGAGATGTCACCAGCCTGGGCCACAGCACCTTGGGTGGGCTCAGGAGAACTGTGCCATGGTTTTACTGTGGCTGATGGTCATTCATACCCTGGCCTTATTTAGTCATTCCTGGTTTGACAGGTTGCTGGTCAGAATTGCTGTGAGGAAAAGAGGAATCCCTCCGCCAGCACGGTGCCAGGCGGTGGCATTCAGAACCCTTCTGCAGACAGGAATTTGCTGGACCTCCTCTCTCCACAGCCGGCTCTGGGCCCTCTGTGAGTCTTATAGGCAAGGGGAGTGGTAGAGTGTGTGTGGCTCCTGAGTACAGTTCCTTCTCATGGGACAAGGGCCGGAGAATGGTGCTCTAAGACAGCTGACACCTCTTGCCCTGGAAAAACAGCTTTCTTTTTTTTTTTTGAGACTGAGTCTCAGTCTGTCGCCCAGGCTAGAGTGCAATGGCACGATCTCAGCTCACTGCAACTTCCGCCCCCAGAGTTCAAGCGATTCTCCTGCCTCAGCCTCTTGAGTTGCTGGGATTACAGGTGCATGCCACCACGGCCAGTTAATTTTTTGTATTTTTTTTTAGTAGAGACAGGGTTTTACTGTGTTGGCTGGGTTGGTTTCGATCTCCTGACCTTGTGATCTGCCCACCGTGGCCTAGGATTACAGGCGTGAGCCACCATGCCTGGCCTAAAGGCACGTGCTATGTGGCAGCAGACAAAAGAGAATGAGAGCCAAACAAAAAAGAGTTTCCCCTTATAAAGCCATCAAATCTCATGAGACTTACTCACTACCATGAAAACAGTATGGGGGAAACTGGCTCCATGATTCAGTTATCTCCCACTGGGTCCACAGCATGTGGGAATTGTGGGTGCTACAATTCAAGGTAAGATTTGTAGCAAGCCATACCTGTGATCACAGAACTTTTGGAGGCCAAGGCAGGTGGTTTGCTTGAGCCCAGGAGTTCAAGACCAGCCTGGGTGATATGGCAAAACCTCATCTCTACAAAAAATAAAAAAACTAGCAAGGCGTGGTAGCTTATGCCTGTAGTCCCAGCTGCTCGGGAGGCCAAGGTGGGAGGATCACTTGAGCCTGGAAAGTCGAGGCTACAGTAAGCCATTACCATGCCACTGCATTCTAGCCTGGACAGCAGAGTGAAAAAAAAAACAAAACTTTTTTTCTGCTGTCCAGGCTGTCTTGAAAAAACACAAAACTTTTTTGGAGACAGGGTCTCGCTCTGTTGCCCAGGCTGGAGCACTGTGGCGCAATCTCGGTTCACTGCAGCCTCCGCCTCATGGGTTCAAGTGATTCTCCTGCCTCAGCCTCCTGAGTAGCTGGGACTGTAGGCATAAGGTACCACGCCTTGTGAATTTTTGTATTTTTTGTAGAGGTGGAGTTTCACCATGTTGGCCAGGATGGTCTTGATCTCCTGACCTCGTGATCCACCTGCCTCAGCCTCCCAAAGTGCTGGTATTGCAGGCGTGAGCCACTGTGCCTGGGCTCAAAAAAAGTTTAATGTGCTGCTTCCCTTTTCTCATTTTACGCCCTTTCCTAAGTCATAGGAGAATACCTGCTTTGGCCAAGGCATCTGAAAAGGGGGTTATTTAAGGGCTGGGAGTAGTAGAACATGAGGTTTTTGCTGTTTGTTTTGTTTTTCTCTTCTAATAACCATGTAAGTTAAGTTAAGAAAAATTTGATCCATAAAGAAATACACAACAAAGTGCAAAGTACCACCCCCTAAAAACAATCTTGAATGTTCCTTCTTTGCTTTTTTTTCTGTACATGTAGTGGTACATTCCTGTGGCTTATTACACAAACAGGATCTTAATTTACAAACTGCACTCCAGCATGACCTTTTCATATCAGATAATATCTGTGATGCATTTCCATATCAGTTTCTATAAATATGCCTTGGTCTTCTTAATAGCTACATTATAATTCATTGCATGGGTGTATTTGATCATTTCCCTTTTGTGGACATTTACGTAATTTCCCGTTTGGAGGTGCTTGGGGGAGTGCCTTATAGTACAGATCCCTGAAGGGGGAGGTTCTCTACGGTGTGAATGTAAAAACATTTTCATAGATCCTGTCCCTTTGCCTCTGGAAAAGTAGTTTATCTTCACCCAGACAGCCTGAAATGCCCGTGTTTCTGATAGAAACCACTAGGCTCTGGCGGGAGTGGGATGTGCCAGGAGTTCGTTCCCATTTGCCACCCAGAGGTCAATTCTTAAAATCGTCTTTTTTTCAGCCACTTGGACAACGTGGGTTCTTTCTTCTCTCACGACTTTAGTTTTCAAAGATGTTTTCAGTTTGTGTCCCACATGGACAAAATCATGAAGTACACAGTAGCTGGTGTAATTTGTGTATCATCTGCCTGGCTCATGTCCCTCTGTGATCACACCTGGAAAACAACCTGACTGAGATTGTCAGAGACTGCCCGACAGGTGCAGCATGAACAACCTTTATAACAAAGGCTCGAGTTTATTGAGTTTTTATTATGTGTGGACACTTGATGTGCTTTTCTTTTCTTTTCTTTTCTTTTTTTGAGATGGAGTCTGGCTCTGTTGCCCAGGCTAGAGTGCAGTGGCACAATCTTGTCTCACTGCAACCTACACCTCCCGGGTTCAAGTGATTCTCCTGCCTCAGCCTCCTCAGTAGCTGGGATTACAGGTGCACACCACAACCACCCAGCTAATTTTCCTTTTTTTTTTTTTTTTAGTACTTTTAGAAAAGAGACAGGGTTTCACCATGTTGGCCAGGCTGGTCTTGAACTCCTGACCTCAAGTGATCCACCTGCCTCAGCCTCCCAAAGTGCTGGGATTACAGGCATGAGGCACCACACGTGGCCTCTAAGTGCGTTTCATACATCATCTCATTTGATTCTTATAACAGCCCAAGAAAGTAAATTACTTCTTTTATTCCCACTTAACAGATGAGGAAGCTGAGGTACGAGTTTGATTACTTGACAAAAGTCATATAACATCTAACTCTGTGTGTGTGTGTGTGTATTTTTTTCCTTGTTCTTTAGTAAGCCTAACCCAAATTCCAAGAAATTGCTACAATTTTTGCTAGTCTTTGGTATTTTTTATTTCTTTGTAGGAATTATGTTTCACAGAAAAGTATCCCCAAGGAAGTGCCACCAGGTACTAAGTCCTCTCCAGGTTGGTCCTGGGAGGCTGGCCCGTTGGCTCCTTCCCCATCTTCACAGAATACACCTCTGGCTCAAGTGTTTGTCCCTTTGGAGTCTGTTAAGCCCAGTAAGTACAATTTCACTCCCCACCTTTGTTTTTCCTGGGAATCTGTTAGACTCCCAGCTTCTTTCACTCCAGCTTGGTAGAGGTGGCCCTTAAATTTGGTTAACAAATGGAAGAGATTTTTGCATGGAGGCAGAAAGTAAGGGATTGTGGCCAGGTATGGTGACTCACATCTATAATTCCAGCACCTTGGGAGGCTGAGGTGAGAGGATCACTTGAGGCCAGGAGTTTGAGACCAGCCTGGGCAACACAGCAAGATCCCTGTCTCTATTTGGGGGTGGAAAAAATTGGGAGGCTGAGGCAGGTTGATCACTTGAGGCCAGGAGTTTGAGACCAGCCTAGCCAACATAATGAAGCCCTGTCTCTGCAAAAAATACAAACAATTAGCCAGACATGGTGGCGTGCACCTGTAGTTCCAGCTACTTGGGAGGCTGAGGCAGGAGAATTGCCTGAACCCAGGAGGTGGAAGTTGCGGTGAACTTAGATCATGCTATTGCACTCCAGCCTGGGCGACAAAGCGAGACTCCATCTCCAGAAAAAGCAAAGTTTGCTTCTTTGTCTTTTAGCTAATTTTCATAGTGTTCCTTAGTATTGACACTGCCAAGAAGGATATGGGCAGGCAGAATTTAATGAAAAGGCTTACTTAAGGACATAATGTTAATTGATTTGGGATTCAAGAAGGCAGTGTTTAATGTGGCCTGAAATGACTGGCGAGAGGTGGAATTCAAATGAGTGGAAGAATTTGGCTACTGATCCTCCTTCTCTAGGGATCCCCATTAAAGCAGAAAGGTGGATATTACCTCTGTTACAAAGGGAAGAGAATGGAAGTGCCTCCCGTCTCTACACTAGTATGCAGAGCAGGACACAACTCAGGTCTATTCCAGAGCCTGGCTCTTTCTTCTAGCATACAGAATCCTCCTTTGGCTCAGTGTGGTGAGGTCAGATTGCAGAGGGCCCTGAAATCCAGGCAGACAAATTTGGAAATAAACAGAGTTGGTGAACAGGGGAGCTTTTTCCACATTTCTTTATTAATTTTTGATTTAAATAATACAAGTTCAGTGTGTTCTGAGTTCAATAATTGTACTGTAGTTACCATGTTAACATCTGGGGAAGCTAGATAAAGGGTATATAAGAATTTTTGTATTAGTTTTATAACTTTTCATAAGTCTGAAATTAATACAAAGCAAACTTTTATAAAAAAGTTGAAAACAAAAATACATGTTGCAAATGTCGAGTTTTATTAAAGATAAAATGGGCCAGATGGGGTGGCTCACTCCTGTAATCCCAGCACTTTGGGAGGCCAAGGCGAGCAGCTCATTTGAGGTCAGGAGTTTAAGACCAGCCTGGCTAACATGGTAAAACCCTAAAAATACAAAGATTAGCCAGACGTGGTAGTGTACACCTATAATCCCAGCTACCTGTAATCCTAGCTTCTTTTGAGGCAGGAGAATCGTTTGAACCCAGGAGGCAGAGGTTGCAGTGAGCTGAGATTGCACCACTGTACTCCAGCCTGAGCAACAGAGTGAGACTGTCTCAAAAAAAAAAAAAAAAGGAAATCATCTGTACCATTATCAGCCAGAGATGGAAAATGTGTTTCTGTCGTGATAGATTTTCTTTGTGTTTTATCATGTGTATACATATGTACATACAGTTCTTAATAATTTGATACCACAGTGTGTATAGACTGTTTTATATTCTATTTACTGTTACATTATAAGCCTGTACCATTTTTATGACCTTAGTTCTTTAAAAACTTGATTTTTAGTGAACTTATATATATATATATACACACACACACACACACACACCATTAAATAGGTGTGCTGTAATCTGTTTATTCAGTCCTTTTTGTATTATTTTGTTTTTATTTTTTTTTTGAGACAAGGTCTGGCTCTGTCACGCAGACTGGAGTGCAGTGGCGCCATCTCAGGTCATTGCAATCTTCATCATCCAGGCTCAAGCCATCCTCCCACTTTTGCCTCCCAAGTAGCTGAGACTACAGGTGTGCGCCACTACGCCCAGCTTACTCAATTTGTTTGTTTGAATAAGCTAAGGTCAATTTGTTTCTACTTGTTTGCTGTTAAAAATAGGGCTACAGGCTGGGTGCGGTGGCTCATTCCTGTAATCTCAGCACTTTGGGAGACCGAGAAGGACGGATCACAAGGTCAGGAATTCAAGACCAGCCTGGCAAACATAGTGAAACCCTGTCTGTACTAAAAATACAAAAAAAAAATTAGCCAGGCATGGTGGTGGGCACCTATAATCCCAGCTTCTTGGGAGGCAGAGGCAGGAAAATTGCTTGAACTTGGGAGGCAGAGATTATAGTGAACTGAGATTGGACCACTGCACTCCAACCTGGATGACACAGCAAGACTCTGTCTCAAAAAAAGAAAAAAAGAAAGAAAAGAAAAACAGGCTACAAAGAACATCTTTGGATGCCTTTCTTTATACCTTCCTTTTATGCCATCCTAATTAGGAGATGGTAATACCAGTGAAATGCCGCATGTAGACGTTTAAAATTTTGATCTGCATTATCAATTTCCCTTCTGAAAAGGTTGCTTTTTTCCCTATACTCTTGCCACCATACCCCACTGGTATTTTCAGTCTTTTAAATCTTTGGTAGTTTCATTGTTAAAGTATGTTTTGATTTAATTTTTTAAATTTTTTCTCTTTTAGAGATGGGGCCTCGCTCCATTGCATGGTCATGGCTCACTGCAGCCTCAGATTCCTCTTGGGCTTAAGCAATCCTCCTGCCTCAGCCTCCCAGATAGCTAGGATGACAGGCAAGCACCACCACACCGGCAAATCTTTTTTTTGTTTTTTCGTGGGGTGGAAGGCAGATCTCTCTGTGTTGCCCAGGCTGGTCTTGAACTCCTGACCTCAAGCAATTTTCCATCTCAGCCTCCTGAGAAGCTGGGATTATAGTCATGAGACACCATGCCCAGCTCTACGTTGTATTTTAGTAATGTATGTTTTGATATTAAGGTTTTTTCCTAGCTGATTAACCAGTCATCTGAGTGCCATTCATTGAGCCAGCCACTGATTTTTGAAGGATGTGTTATGTTACAGTGTCATTTAGATCTGTTCTGCATGCTCTGTTGTATGCTACTTTACTTGAATTGTAATTTTATCTGAGTATTTGCTATAGCCCTGCTCCATGTTTTTATGTAGCTTTCCCCCTCAAATAAACATTAGAATCATTCCTTAGTTAAGTTAAAATAGTTTCTTTAGAATTTCCATTGGAATTCTACTAACCTTTTAATTTGAGGTTTTATACAATTAAATATAAGGGGATATGTGTGTGTGCCTATGTGTGTGTGTTTATAGTCATACAAAGGAGACCAGAAGAAAATAATTGCTTATTCTGCATAGAATTAAGAGTGCATTTATTACATTCTTTATGATAATCCTGGTTGGGTTTTTTTGTTTTGTTTTTTGAGACAGAGTCTCGCTCTTTCACACAGGCTGGAGTGCGGTGGTGCAGTCTTGGCTCACTGCTCACTGCAACCTCTGCCTCCCGGGTTCAAGTGATTCTCGTGCCTCAGCCTCCCGAGTGGCTGAGATTATTATAGGTGTGCATCACTGTGCCTGTCTAATTTTTGTATTTTTAGTAGAGATGGGGTTTTGCCATGTTGTCCAGGCTGGTCTCAAACTCGAACTCTTAGCATCAAGTGACCCACCCGCCTCGGCCTCCCAAAGTGCTGGGATTACAGGAATGAGCCCCCATGCCTGACTGATAATTCTGTTTTCTATAGGCTTCATGCATGATTTTAATCATGATCATATCTTCCTCAAAATTGTGATTTTTAATAACTGGTAGTGTGTGAATGATGGTTGGATGGTGGGGAGAGGTCAGTTTGGAGGGTCATAGGAGTCCAGCTAGAGTCAGGAGGACTTGAATTATGATAGTGCAAAGAATTCAGTCCTGCATGTGTTCTGAATGGAGAAGCAGCAGCATCTGGAGATAACATGTACATCTCTTTCCACCCTGGCTGTCTGGGGCGTTTGTAGTGGTGTTAACCTTCTGCTTGGGCCCTCTCCACCAGGCAGCCTGCCGCCTCTCATTGTGTATGACCGGAACGGATTCAGAATTCTGCTCCACTTCTCCCAGACGGGAGCCCCTGGCCACCCAGAGGTGCAAGTGCTGCTCTTGACCATGATGAGCACAGCTCCCCAGCCTGTCTGGGATATCATGTTTCAAGTGGCTGTGCCAAAGGTGAGTCAAATTTTGTGGATTTCTCAGTAATGGCTGTCGTTTCTGAGTGCCAGGTTCTTTGCTGGGACATTATCTGTCAGGTGTAAAGAAAAGAATCTTCACTCAAACTAACTGAAGATAAAGTGAGAATGTAATGGCTTACCTAACTGGGGATTGCTGAATATCTGAATTCAGATATGAGTGTATCCAGATAGGTTCTTAAATGATGCCTTAAGAATCTGTATCTCTTGTCTCTGCTTTTCTTTGGCACCATTCTGGCAGTTTCTCAGCTCCAGGGTTGCATGGCCCTTAACCCTCTTTATCTCATAAACTCTCACCCGGTATGAAGCCTGTATATTGATTACTCAGGAAAGGGTTCTGATTAGACTTGTTAGTGTTACTTCCATACCTTGGACCAGTAACTTGTGTCCAAGGATATGAGGCACTTGGCCAGTGTGAGATAACATATCCACCCCTTTTCAAGGGAAGTATGGCCCTACTGATGACCACCACACCACAGTCACAGAGGACGGGGCCTATCCTGAAAGGAAAAGATTCAGGACAGACAAAAATAGACACGCAGTCTCATGGTAGTCCTGTGGGGAATGTACTACTGCTTACTACCTGTTTTATAAGTTATCAACCCAAGGCTCAGAAATTAAATATTTTGCTCAAGGTCACAGAGCTAGTGAGAAGCAGAGTTAGGATTCAACCCAAGGTGTGCCCTGGCTATTGTTACTGCCTCTCAGATATCAGCCGTTGACCGCACAACTCCAGATCCACTCTGTGTGTGGAATGAAAGGTGTCTCGATCCTTTTGTCAGTTAGTGGAAGCCTGTCTGCCTGGGCTCCCACAGGTGCCTCGGGGTACCACATCTGAGACGGCCCATTTCCTCTTGGAGGGTGGAGGGGAGGTCCAGTTCCCGCTCACCTGATCTCCATCCTGGAAGTTGTGGCTAGGAATGAGTCACATGTTGGTTTTCTTCCCCCAATAGTCAATGAGGGTGAAGCTGCAGCCGGCCTCCAGCTCTAAGCTTCCTGCATTCAGTCCTTTGATGCCTCCCGCTGTGATATCTCAGATGCTGCTGCTGGACAATCCACACAAAGTATGTTCCAGTGTCTGTGGTAGCAGGGAGATAGGGGCCCCTGAACTGTAAGGAGAAGTAACTTTGGGTAGAGAGAGGTACATTGAGGCCTTGCTCTAAAGTCTCTGGTTTGCCAGGCATGGTGGCTCACCCTGTAATCCCAACACTTTGGGAGGCTGAGGCAGATGGATCATTTGAGGTCAGGAGTTCAAGACCAGCCTGGCCAACATGGTGAAACCCCGTCTCTACTAAAAATACAAAAATTAGCTGGGAGTGGTGGTGCGTGCCTCTAGTCCTAGCTACTTGGGAGGCTGAGGCAGGAGAATCGCTTGAACCTGGAAGGCAGGGGTTGCAGTGAGCTCAGATTGCGCCACTGCACTCCAACCTGGCCCTAGAGCGAGACTCCATCTCAAAAAAATAAAGCCTCTCGTTTGGTTGGGTGGTAGGGGGTGTATGTGGAATATCCCTCAGTAGAGTCTGTCTTTGGGGCTCATTGAAGGAAAATCTGATGGATTGTCATAGCGGGGGACCCAGGGAGGGACACATGCACTCTCGCTAATCCTCGGAAGTCCTCTGAAAGGGCAAGGCCTGTCTTCCTTAGCTAGTCTCTGAATTGCAGCCCATCTCAGGATTTAAGGACTGCAGAAGTATTGAAGAATTCCCAGGATACGTGCCTATTTCCCCTTGTTTCTAGCCCCAGAGAGTATCCCAAATATTCTGTGTCATAGAATTGTTTGAAGCACTCACTTAAAATGAATTAACATTTTCCCCTGTTCTGGGTTGCTCTCCACCGATTTAACATCTTCTGTCTCTTCTGTCCTAGGAACCTATCCGTTTACGGTACAAGCTAACATTCAACCAAGGTGGACAGCCTTTCAGCGAAGTAGGAGAAGTGAAAGACTTTCCAGACCTGGCTGTCTTGGGTGCAGCCTAACTTCATAAGACAGACCCTTCATTTCAAGCTTAGGATGGTGTTACTTTTGCTGTCTAGTCAGGACTAATCACAGTGTTTCAATGTAGTGCCAAGAGTCCTATCCTGACGTCAGGCTCTGGGTGTCAACCTCTGACTTACTCTGCAGATGGGGTGTGAGTGTGTGTGTGTGTGTCTGTGTGTGTGTGTGTGTGTGGTCGGGGGAGAGGGTGGTAGCGCAGGGCTTGGGATATCAGCAGTATCATCATCTCTGCTACAATCATGTTTCTGCATGTCAGCAGACACTGTCCCTGCCTCAGGTTGGAGGTTTTATAAGCCAAAGTTTTTTTCCATGTATTGTTTGTTCCATTAATCCACTCTGTGCCTTGTCAGCCTTTGAAAGTCTTGGTTGCTCCCAGGCTGCTGTTCTCAGGGACCTTAAAAGGGACCTGGTTAGTCTTGGGGCAGAGAGTATCTTCTGGGGCACTCTCTTCCAAGAAAGACCTTGTCTCCATTTTCATTAGACAATGCTTCTTGTGTGTGTTATGGAATATCTTCTAAATGGAATGCTTGTTGCACTGTTCCCAGGTGGGTGGCTGCCATGAGACCTGAGGACCACGCTTGGGGGACCAATCACGTCCTTCACCACTGTGCCTTAGAATTGCCCCGAGACAGACCTTTGGGCAGAGGGGAAAGCAGCTCCCAGGCCTTATTCAGGTCTCAGGTCCGTGGGTTGGGCAGCCAGTCTGGACCCTTCTCAGGACCCTCATCTCCATCCTCATTTATCCTCTTCGTAGCATTTGCTTGGAGCTCTTAGTGACAGACACCATGTTGGTCATGGGAATTGGCCAACAGCCAGCCCTTGCCAGTTAACATCACAGTCTAAGATGGGGAACTATGGTGCAGATAGACATGAAGAGAGCTTAGCAGTGATTGAAGTGGTGACTAAGTGTACAGTCATTGAATAAATACCATGTAGCAAATGTACTTTGTAGAGTTTTCAGTAAGTTGCGTTTAGCGATGATAGGCCTAAAGGGAAGTATCTTCTGTCCAGAAGTAAAAGAAACTTCATGAAGGACGTAGAAGCTTAACTGCCTCCATGAAGAGAACCTGAAGATCTGAGGAAAGCTGGACAGGAGAGGTGGATATTCCATTTGTAATATGACAGAAAAATTCGAGTTTATATTAGTGACCACTTACTGTGTGCTAGGAACTTGACTGTGTGTTGACAAGTCCTGCTTGGCCTGATCGGTGGGAGAAGGAACCTGAGGCTGGCTGAGATGGCCAGGCGGAGGGCTTTGAAGTCCAAGCAACTGACCTGGCTGGGTGGGTTTCTACCTCCGAAACTGCAAGGCTCTGTTTGGAGCTCTTAATCACAATATCTGATATTTTTACAGTGTGATCTTTTGACTTCTACATGTAGTGGAAATCTGCCAACACTAATTGGTGGAGATGGAAACTGTAAGAGATCAGGTATGCCAATTTTAAGCAAATGTGAAAGCTCATAAAACAGATAAACGATGGGGTGATTTCATTTGCCCTAATTCACATAAGACGAACTGTAATCTAAAAGTACTTTCTTGCTTGTGTTCTGTGTAGGTTTCCCTCCCTCCCCCCTTTTCTTGAGGCCAAGTCTCATACTGTTGCCCAGGCTGGAGTGCAGTAGTGTGATCTCAGCTCACTGCAATCTCTGCCTACTAGGTTCAAGCGATTCTCGTGTCTCAGCCTCCCAAGTAGCTAGGACTACAGGCAGGAGCCACCATGCCCAGCTAATTTTTGTATTTTTAGTAGAGATGGGATTTCACCATGTTGGTCAGGCTGGTCTCAAACTCCTGACCTCAGGTGATGCACCTGCCTCAGCCTCCCAGAGTGCTGGGATTACAGATGTGAGCCACCACACCTGCCGTCTGTTTAGCTTTTATAGGCTCTGTTGCTGTTGCATAGTCTAGAAAGAGGTACCCATCATAATGACAGCATCTCCCTATGAAGGGTTTTGGTTAAAATGGGTGAACGAGACTTAAACATAAAGTCGAGTCTTCTCCCCTATAGTTCAAAGGTAGACTCATGTGTATACCTGAACATTCTTTTGAGGAGACAGACCCCTAATGGTACTACTGTGCTTAGGTGTTGGACAGGATAGGGGTGGGAGGAGAGAAGGCAGGCTGCTGTCCTGAAAGTGGCTGTGGTTTATGTCATCACTGCCTTCTAATCAGCAAGTCCAGTGGCCACTTAGAACCCAGCTCCTACCTCTTCATTCACTCAACAAGTAGTTATTGGCCAGGCGCAGTGGCTCATGCCTGTAATCCCAGCATTTTTGGAGGCTGAATGGTATGATCACTTGACCCCAGGATTTCAAGTCCATCCTGGGCTACATAGTGAGACCTTGTCTCTATTTTTTTTTTTTTTTTAAACGAGTTACTGACAAGCTACCTTGAGCCAGGTACCACCCTGAAGGAGCTTCTGTTCTTTGGGGAGAAGCAAATTCATGATGTGTGTGCTAGAGATCTGGCCCTCATGGCCAGTGCTTTCCAGTATCCTGAACTCTGCAGGGGTCCCTGTTGATCCCTATTTCTTGACCTACCTCCATGACTGCTCTTATTCCTCTGTCCCTTAAGTGTGGTGGTTTTCCAGAGTCCAGTCGTCAGGACTTGCCCATCCACACACTGAGGCCTGGCAGTCAGATGGCTCTAAACCATGTAGATGGATTATAGATGTCTCTCAAGCTGCCACCTCATTGCTGAGCCCAGATCATATTTCATTCTGTCAGTCGGTATCTGTAGCTGGAGGTTTGCTTCAATCTCCGTTGGAATGGAACCCACAGTCCTGCCCTTTTCCACCTACATGCTCTCACTTGGAAGCACCTGAGACTTACTGGGTCCCTGATTCCTGCTTCATCTGTATCCGCGGAGTAGTTTCATGTCATGTTGCCTGTTTTCTGCATAATCTCGTATCATGTCCTCCCTGCACTTATATTGCCACTGCTCTGGTTTGGGTTTTTTTTTGTTTGTTTTTTTTTTGTTTTTTTTTTGGACAATGCCTGTGTCCCAATTCTGAGTACCAGCTACAAATCTGAGCATTTGACTAGATGAAAAATTCTGAATGGCTTCCTGATGCCTACCTGTTTACGGGATCAAATTCAAGTTGCACACTGGCACTCAGTGCCCTTCCGGTGTCATCTGCCAAGACTAGGGCCTGCTTCACCACAACCACAATAAAGTCCTTTCAAGCCCTGATAATGCCATGTTTTGTCATAACCTTTTGCCTACATATGTAGTTAATTACTCTTCCTGGTGTCTATTCCACAAACTTAAGACTGGGCAAAAATGTTACCTTATCTGTGAGCCACTCTTTGAACATAAACAGGTGATGAAGATAGTGTTGAAAACAGGCTAAATGGGCCGGGTGTGGTGCTCATGTCTGTAATTCCAGCACTTGGGAAGCCAAGGTGGACGGATTACGAGGTCAAGAAATCGAGACCGTCCTGGCCAACATGGTAAAACCCTGTCTCTACTAAAAATGCAAAAATTAGCTGGGCACAGTGGTGGGTGCCTGTAGTCCCAGCTGCTCAGGAGGCTGAGGCAGGAGAATCGTTTGAACCTAGGGGAGGTGGACGTTGGGGCGAGCCGAGATCATGCCACTACTACAGCCTGGCGACAGAGCGAGACTCGGTCTCAAAGGATAAATGACAACCAAAACAAAACTGAATATTAGCTAGTAAAGACTGTAAATTGAGACAGTAAATGTTAAAAGTAGAAAGCAAAGGCAATATTCTAGAATACAAATAGTGCTTGCCTACTACAGTATTAATCCCAAATCCTTTAAATATACCCATTATAGAAGATGCTTACACAGTGTCAAGAGTACAAAAGTGGTTTTTTTGTTGTTGTTGAGATGGCTTTGCCCTTGCCCAGGCTGGAGTGCAGTGGCACAATTGTAGCTCAGTGCAGCCTTGAATTCCTGTGCTCGGGCGATCCTCCTGCTTCAGCCTCCAGACTAGCTGGGACTACAGATGCGTGCCACCATGCCCAGCTAATATTTCAGCTTTTGGTAAAGACGGGATCTCTGTGTTGCCCAGGCTGGTCTCCTGTGCTCAAGCGATCCTCCTACCTTGACCTCCCAAAGTGATGGGATTACAGGTGTGAGCCACCATGTCCTGACCCCAGTTTTAAAGCCAAGCGATGCACCAAGATGTTTGTGTGCACATGTGACAGTGGTAATCTTTGGGTCATGGAATGACAGATAAGTTTTCTTTAAATTTTATCTAAGCTTTTGAAAATTTCTAATCTGAAAATCTTATTTTTTATGCTCGGTGTTGGCTTTTTTTTTTTTTTTTTTTTTTTTTTTTTTTTTTTTTTTTTTTTTTTGTTTTTTTTTTTTTTTTTTTTTTTTTTTAAAGATAAAGACATTGACATGATTTAAAATTACAAAAGGTGAAAATTCTTCCCGCCCAGCTACCGTACTCTGTCTTTTCAGAGGGATTCTAGGCATGTTCAAGGAAATACAGTATACTGTTCTGTGTTTTGTTCTATTCATGTAACACTGTATAGATAGCTTGGAGATAATGCCATTATCAGCATGAATTAATGAAAAGAATAACCCTGCTCTCTCCCCTGAGTTCATATGTTACAAATCAAGCATTTATGCATTGAAAGTGCCACTTATTCAAACTCGGGGGCTAGCAATTCCCTCATAGTTTCCTTGTATCCTGTCTCTCCCACTTGGACCATTCCCAGGTGCCCAAGCAGGCCAGACTTTTCCCTGGCCTTCCCTCTCTTCCCAGACTTTTCCCTCTTGCCTTCATTCTGGCAGCCCTGTGCAGTAGAGTGAACCAAGTATGGGCTGGGAAATCTGGTTCAATTTCTAGTTTTTTGCCACCCGTAGCATCTTGGGCAAGTCAGTGATCTCTGGGCCTCAGTTTTTAATGGTAAAAATGTTAGAAGTTTACTTCACACATTTTGGTGAGAATTTAATGAAGTGTACAAAATAGAAGAGATATTCTATAAATTTAGGTATTTCTCAAATTACCTTCACATCTGAGATTTTTTTTTAACCACTGTAACAGTGGTGACTTTCATCACTGTTCATTTCACAGCCTCTCCTGCTCTCATAAAACCACAGAAGTTGTGCTAAGAATGCCAATAGCTTATGAATATTTGCATAGGCAGCAGAAAAGGTTGATACTTTAATAAAATCTGACCATACCGGCTGAGCACAGTGGCTCACGCCTATAATCCCCAGCACTTTGGGAGGCTGAGGCAGGTGGATCATGAGGTCAGGGGTTCGAGACCAGCCTAACCAATATGGTGAAACCCCATCTCTACTTTTAAAAAAAAAAAAGTTAAAAAATTAGGCATGGTGGCACATGCCTGTAGTCCCAGCTACTTGGGAGGCTGAGGCAGAAGAGGAGGTGGAGATTGTAATGAGCTGAGATTGGGCCACTGCACTCTAGCCTGGTGACAGGAGAAAAAAAAAAAAAAAAAAGCTGGGCACAGTGACTTATGCCTGTATCCCAGCACTTTGGGAGGCCAAGTTGGGCGGATCACCATGGGTCGGGAGTTTGAGACCAGCCTGACCAACATGGAGAAACCCCTAGATATAACAAAATTAGCCAGGCGTGGTGGCCGCTGCCTGTAATCCCAGCTATTGGGGAGGCTGAGGCAGGAAAATCACTTAAATCCAGGAGTTGGAGGTTGCAGTGAGCTGAGATCATGCCACTGCACTCCAACCTAGGGGACAGAGCGAGACTCCATCTAAAAAAAAGTAACAGTCGAAATGTTTATTTTTCTCTGTATTAGTTCCTTAGAACTGCTATAACAATGACCACAAGCTGGGTTGTTTAAGGCAACAGACGTGTTGTCTCAGTTCTGCAGGCTGGGAGTCTAAAGTTGGGGCCATGGTGCTTCCTCTGAAGCCTGTTAGGAAAATCTTGGTGGTTGCTGGCTTCCACCATCTTTGACTTCCTTGGCCTGCAGCTGCAGAACTCCAGTTTTGCCTTCTTTGCCACATGGCGTTCTCCTTGTATCGTCTTTACATGACCAATTTTTTTTTTTTTTTTTTTTTTTTTTTTTTAAGAGACATGCTGGAGCCGGGCGCGGTGGCTCACGCCTTTAATCCCAGCACTTTGGGAGGCCGAGGCGGGTGGATCACGAGGTCAAGAGATCGAGACCATCCTGGTCAACATGGTGAAACCCCGTCTCTACTAAAAATACAAAAATTCAGCTGGGCATGGTGGCGTGTGCCTGTAATCCCAGCTTCTCAGGAGGCTGAGACAGGAGAATTGCCTGAACCCAGGAGGCGGAGGTTGCGGTGAGCCGAGATCGCGCCATTGCACTCCAGCCTGGGTAACAAGAGCGAAACTCCATCTCAAAAAAAAAAAAAAGAGACATGCTGGAGTATAGTGGCATGGCCACAGCTCTCTGTAGCTTCAAACTCCTGGGCTCTAGGGATCTTCCCACTTTGGCCTCCTAAGTAGCTAGGACTACAGGTAGTGCTGCTACAACTGGCTAAGTTTTAAATTTTTGTAGAGATGAGGGCCTCACCATGTTGCCCAGGCTAGTCTTGGGCTCCTGGCCTCACAAAGTGTAGGGATTATAGGCATGAGTCACCATGCCCAGCCTGACCCTACTACCTCTCTAATCATATTTAATTAGTACTGCATATCTTTTTGGATTAAGTAAAATCAATTTCCCTAGCATTCAAGTTTCTCTACAGCATAGCCTTGTCTCAGCTTCAGTTTCCTCTTCTGGAAATATAAATACTACCTGCCTTAACTCAAAAGGCTGTGAGGAAACCATGTGGCAATTGGAGCCTGTAATCCCAGCACTTTGGGAAGCTGAGATGGGAGGATTGCTTGAGTCCAGGAGTTTGAGACCATCCTGGGCAACATAGTGAGACCCCGTCTCTACAAAAAATTGGGTGGGAATGGTGGCATACATCTGTATTCCCAGCCACTCAGGAGGCTGAGGTAGGAGGTTGGCTTAAGCCCAGGAGGCAAAGGTTGCAGAGGCGGCAGTGGTGAGATAAGATCACACCACGGCACTCCAGCCTGGGTGGCAGAGCCAGACTCTGTCTCCAAAAAGGTGGAAACTGTCATAGTGGATTGAAAACACCACCACCACAAATTCCAACTATATGCTGTCTACAAAAGGTACTCTTAGGTTCACAAACCAGTTGGAAGTAAAAGAAGGATAAAAGATTAGCCATGCAAGTAGTAATCATAAAGCTGGAATGGCTATGTTAATATCACACAAAATGGCTTTTTTTTTTTTTAAATGGAGTCTTGCTCTGGAGCCCAGGCTGCAGTGCAATGGCATGATCTCACCTCACAGCAACCTCTACCTCTTGGGTTCAAACGATTCTCCTGGCTCAGCCTCCTGAGTAGCTGGGATTACAGGCACCTGCCATCATGCCTGGCTAATTTTTGTATTTTTAGTAGAGACAGGATTTCATCATGTTGGCCAGGCTGGTCTTGACCTCCTGACCTCAAGTGATCTGCCCTCCTCAGCCTCCCAAAGGGCTGGGATTATAGGCCTGAGCCACCGCACCTGGCACAAAATAAACTTTAAGACAAGAGTATTACTAGAGACAAAAAAAAGTACATTTAATAATGATAAAAGGAGACCAGGCGCGGTGGCTCACACTTCTAATCCCAGAACTTTGGGAGGCCAGGGTGGGTGAATCACCTGAGGTCAGGAGTTCGAGACCAGCCTGGCCAACATGGCAAAACTCATCTCTACTAAAAATGCAAAAATAGCGTGGTGGTTCGTGCCTGTAATCCCCACTACTTGGGAGGCTGAGGTGTGAGAATTACTTGAACCCAGGAGGTGGAGGTTGCAGTGAGCTGAGATCGTGCATTCCACTCCAGCCTGGGCAACAAGAGCAAAACTGTCTTTAAAAAAAAAAGAAAAAGAAAAAACTGATTCAAGAAATAGAAAATCTGAATAGACCTATATCAAATAAGTTGAAAAATTTAAAATTTTTCAACAAATTAACATCCAAGTCCAAATGGCTTCACTTTGAATTTTGTCAAGTATTTATAGAAGTAATATTACTCCTTCACAAACTCATTAAGAAGGGAGGATCAGTTCCCTTCTCTGATTCTCATTCTCTAAGACCAGTATTAACCATATACAAAAATCAGAGAAAAACATCATGAAAAAAGTAATTGCAGACCCATATGCCCCACAAATATGCAGACTTGAATATAAACACAGAAATCTTCCCCCAAATATTAGCAAAGCAAATCCAGTAACACATAAATATCATTATACACTATGACCCCTGTATCATTTATCCCAGGAGTGCAAGATTTGTTTAACATCTTGTTATTTTCAAAACAGGATCTCCCTCCGTCACCCAGGCCAGAGTGCAATGGCACAATCTTGGCTCACTGCAGCCTCCACCTCACAGGTTCAAGTGATTCTTGTGCCTCAGCCTCCCAAGTAGCTAGGATTACAGGTGTGTGCCACCATGCCCACCTAATTTTTGAATTTTCAGTAGGTTTCACCCTGTTGGCCAGGCCGGTCTCGAACTCCTGGCCTCAAGTGATCTGCCCACCTTGGCCTCCCAAAGTGCTAGGATTACAGGCATAAGCCACTGTTCCCGGTCCCAAGATTCATTTACCATCGTAAAATCAATTACTATGTCATTTGAATAGAATGTGACAAGAACCACATGATTATCTCAGTAGGCAGAGAAAAACAAAACAACCCAGCATCCTAAAAAAAACTCAACAAACTAGGAATAGAAAGGGACTTCTGGCTGGGCATGGTGGCTCACACCTGTAATCCCAGCACTTTAGGAGGCCAAGGCAGTTCTTGAACCTGAGGTCAGGAGTTCAAGACCAGCCTGGCCAACATGGTGAAACCCTGTCTCTGCTAAAAATACAAAAATTTAGCCAGGTGTGGTGGTGGGCACCTGTAATCCCAGATACTCAGTAGGCCGACAGTGAGCCGAGATCGCACCATTGCACTCCAGCCTGGGCAACAAGAGCGAAACTACGTCTCCAAAAAAAAAAAAAAGGACCAAACTGGAAAGGGAAAAGGAAGTATCTATTCATAGATGACATGATTATGTATGTAAGCAAATCCCAAGCAACACCCCCATGCAAAAACTAGAAAATCAACAGCCAAAGGTACAAGATAAATCTATAGAAATAAATTGTTGCTGGGCACAGTGGCTCATGATCCCAGCACTTTGGGAGGCTAAGGAGTGTGGATCACCCTGAGGTCGGGAGTTCAAGACCAGCCTGGCCAACATGGCGAAACCCCATCTTTACTAAAAATGCAAAAATTAGCCAGATGTGGTGGTGGGTGCCTGTAGTCCCAGCTACTCTGGAGGCTGAGGCAGGAGAATCATTTGAATTCAGGAGATGGAGGTTGCATTGAGCTGAGATTGCTCCACTGCGCTCCAGCCTGCAAGACAGAGCAAGACTGCGTCTCAAAAAAATTGTTTTTCTGTAACAAGAAATTATGAAAGTTAAGAAAATTCCATTCACAGTAGCAATAAAAGGAAATTCTTTTTTTTTTTTTTGAAGATGGGGTTTCACCATGTTGGTCAGGCTGGTCTTGAACTCCCGACCTCAGGTGATCTGCCCGTCTTAGCCTCCAAAATGTTTGGATTACAGGCGTGAGCCACCACGCCCGGCCTAAAAGGAAATTCTTATAAATAAATTTAACAAAAGAAGTGCAAGACTTGTGTTATACAATGAAAACTACAAAATATTGCTGAGAGAAATTTAAAAAGATCTTAATCAGGTCTCAATCATCAAGGGTGATTCCCACTAGGGGACGCTTGGCACTGTGTAGACAGATTTTTGGTTGTCACAACTTGGAGAAAAGGATGTTGCTCCTAATGGGTAGTGGCCAGGGATGCTGCTAAGTACCTCACAATGCATAGAACAGGCCCCCATAACCAAAAATTATCTGTACTCAATAGTGCCAAGACTGAAAAATTCCAATCTAAATAAATGAAGAGGCATTTCATGTTACAGATTAGAAGAGTCAATATTGTCTCGATGGCAATTCTCAAATTCATCCATCAATTCAACGTAATCCGTATCAAAGTTCCAGCAGGATTTTTTTTCTTTTCTTCT